TTTTTTTTATGAAATATAATGTTACTCATACGCCATGTACCTACGAGTATCCAAGCGTTTGATCAAACGCAAAGGAAGACCTCTGCAAATATGTAGACAATTTCTTCATCTACAATGTATATTTTTTATGATTTTGATAAATGCATCTAATTTGACTTAGATTGAGATGAATTGGACAAGATTTTCTAGAATTCAATTTATTTAAAAATTCGAAAAAGATAGTGCTCATTATTACACCATTATTGAACGAGGCCTAGAAGTTGCCTAATGGGTGACAGTTAAAAAAAAAATATTTAAAAAAAGGCGGTCAGCTTTTTTTTAAAGATACCAATTAAAAAAAACGCACCAATCGGCCCATTTTTGGCAGAGTTATGGGTATTTAAAAAGTAGGACTTTTTTCATAAATCGATTTATCGAGAACGGCTAGACATTAAAAAAAATCGAGGAAACTTCTCTGAGTTGGTAGTATAACATAAAATGTTAAGAAAAATATCGGAGATACAAAAGCCATTTTGGTGCAGGAATGCGCTATATTAGGAATGTTTTTAAGCTATAATCTATGAAATTTCTCTTTTATTTGGCACCTATATTGTTATTCTACATTGCACTGAGTTGTTTTAATCATTTTCGAATTTATCATATCCTTGAACTTTCAAAGTCCTTAAAAAAAAATCCTGACCTCAGAGAGAAAAACTAAAAACGCAGTTTTGCTATATTGGGCCCGGAGTTTCGTGATTATATTAATTTTTGTGTGGGTAAAATTGATTGTTGTACGCTGTTGTATGGTATCAACATTTGTAGACTACCGGTCAGGAGCTAGTTACTTTAAAAAAAGAGTTTTGAAGGTATCGGAAATATTTTTTTCCGCGCTAAATAGCCAAGACTGCGTAGAATTGATTTTCATGAAGCTACTGAAAAACTCGGACACGGTTGTAGTAGAATTATTTTATTTATTAAAAATTTTCAGCGAAAATGCTGCAAATGTGGACTACAGAGCATAAGAAGGGTAAATTTTAAAATTGGAGCATTGTATTTAATAAAAAATAATGTTGCTGTCTTTTCACGTTCTTGTCTGTTTCTATTTCACCTTAAATGAATTATTAAAGGGGATAATTACAAACTAAAAAACCATATTCTAATTATTACCAGTATGTATTGTTAAAGCAATTTCTAAACTCAGTAATCAATTTTTAATGAAAAACATGGAATAACTGCCTTATTCGCCCTTATAGTTACCCGTTTGTGAGCTTATGCAATGCAGATATGGGCCTTACAGGGTTAAGTTATTATCTACGTTATATAAACTTCATCTTTGCGCGCACTGCCACTCACCTGACTTTCCCAGATCATTAGCGATACTCTCCCAAGCGTTCATCTTCTCTCTATTACTGTTGAAAGAAGGATCGTTCGGATCATAAAGGCACCTATAGCTCTTAACTAGAAGACACAATTTATCTTTTCCCACTGTACTTTCCAATGTTGTACTGGGACCAGATGTGTTAGCGTTGCTGTTGGTGACGATGGTGATATTGTATATATTTCGATCCATTTTTCAAGTCACTGGAGTAGTCGTGATTTTTACAGTGTAGTAGCAGTATTTATACATACGTAGGTCTACGGCGACAACAACCGACTGAAATTTGTACGTGCAAAATGACGGTGATTATCACTTGGAGATACATACATATGCAAGTCGGCGGTAATACATAAACATATGTATAAATATCAGTCTTCTACGGCGACAGCAACCGGCTTAAAATAACGCGCGCAAATCACGGCGAAAATAACTCTTAACTACATATATATATTCATGCACTTAACTAAAACTGCAGTGAGTGAATGCAATACAAATTCCGCGTGCCTTCTTGTTCTGAACACTACTAAAATCGAAATAATCACAAAATTTTCTATTGCTGGCGTTCAACAAGCTGGAGAGACGCCGACAGTTAAAATGCATTCTCACGCCGTTGGCCGCTCCGAATCTCTGTTATGTTTTTTCACTACAGAAAACGCTTAGGTATTGAATTGCATATACAACTAAATTCTTTCTTAAGTCGACTGAGGCGGTTATTGCTTATAACCACAGATATATATATTTATATATATATATATATATATATATATATATATATATATATATATATACATGTAATTATTTGCATTCTTCTAACTAATTTGTCTTCTTTGTGAAATACCATTCAAATTCCAAATTTTGTATCCGATTTTTGTTTCTATAAAAAAAGCGCAAGTACAACAGTCTACTACATATAAAATGTAAATTTCATAAATAAAAAAAAAATATCATCTGTTCAGCTCTTTCGCGACACTTTCATTAGCTTCTGCACACTGGCGATATCTTCATTCGTCCATCAAAGACGCACGCAAACGAAAAGAGCTAAACGAAATTCGCACTGCTTTCATATTGCATGAGCTGATAGGGGAAAACCCGAACAATTTCCACACCGTCTTCAAAAGAGTCACAACTCAAAATTTAGCATTTTTGAAATTGTGCGCTAAAAGTGCAATCAGATATTTTATTTACCTTTCAGCAAAGGCTGGATTAAATTTTTGTTATAATTTGTTAAAAGAACCTAAGGTAAAGTGGCCTTTGTCCATACATATGATTATCATGTGCTAAGACATAGTTTTTCGCACTTTCTGACAAACGTATTATTTTGGGTTGTGACTCTTTTGAAGACGGCGTGCGAATTAATTCTAGAACTCATGATTTCGCCAAAACATTTCCCGCCTAAATACTTTGTTTGTTAGGCGATGGTTATTTTCTACAGGGGATTTGTGATTTGTGATTTGATATCTTTTTTTTTTGTGAATAATAAACGCAATATCTTGATACTATTTCTTTTTGCAAATGGATTTGTAAAAACAAATGGTATACAAGTCTGCATTTGTTTCCTTTCATCACTCTAAAGCAATGCTTACATATTTACAACCATGAGGGCCAGAGGAGCCTATCTACAAATAAAAAATTATAGTTTAAAAAACTAAAACCTCCCTATTATAATTGCCATTCGTGCTGTCATCAGGTATGTAACTTGAGAATAGAAATCGCTGCATCTTTTAGGCGTATCAATATTACATAGTTACATCCCGAGCTAATAAAAGGAAGGTAAAAAAAAAGAAAAAGGAAGAAATTAAAGGATCTATGAAAAATAATTTCGTGATGTCAATAAATTTTGAGATTACAAAAATATGCTTTGAGAGGGTTGCTTGGAGTATTTAGCACAGACTGCTTTGGTAAACGATGTCAGAAAGAATTTCAGCACAAAATAAAATTGCTTCAATTAAATACTGTACAAGAGCAAGTTCTATGGTCTTTCTACTTAATCGATATTTTCCTTTCGCCATTTCATTTATTTGTTGTAATTTGGTGGTGACCAGTCTAATTTTTGCCGAATTTGCACCGGAACGTCCTCCAGATATTCTTCAAAAGTTTCGTCCAGTCATTCTTCGAAGCCATTTACACCTTCGATTTTCTGAGTTTGGTTTATTTCCTATTTGAAAGGTTTAAAACTTAACTAAAGTATGTAAAACAATGGCTTCCTTCCTATCCACCACAGTCAACTATTGAGATTGTACGATATTTACTATCATTTCGTATTCGTCTTCACTATCTTCAGCGCATACCTCCTCTGAGTCATCGCCCTCTAAAACCTTCAAGATTTCCATTTCGGTGCGAGCGAATTTTTTTCCAAACTGAGACATTGTTGCTGCACGGAAAGAGACACTCGGTCCGGCGCGCTCCATTGCATTAAAAATTTATTAAGCATTTTCATACACACTCCTAAGTACTACATGGCGTATGAGCAGTATTCGTTCCTGCTCATATTTCATAAAAAAAAGAATCTTCGCGCATTTCCATTTGGCCACCCATACCTGTTTTTAATTATGCATCGATTTTCTTCGTTAGTAGCTTAATTTTTTGTAACAGAACTGGCTCAAAAACAAAACAAATTAAAAACAAGTAAGAAAGTCTAAGTTCGGGCGGAGCCGAACATTAAATACCCGGCGCAAGTGTTAAATATATGTTTTTTCACCCTTCCGAAACCTTCCGCTAGATGGTAAGCCGAGGTGTATCAATTTTGAGTAAATTAGCGTCCTTCAATTTCGAAATATTGAAGTTTCAAGCATTTCTTAAATTTACCGTTATATGAGAATCGGCCGTTATTTTAGTCCGATTTCAATAATTTTCAACGTTTTGCTTACACGTGGCAAGTACAATAACCATACCGAGTTTGGTACAAATTGGTAGAACGGTTACCGATATACTTATATGAGATCATAAGTGGGCGGTGCCACGCCCATTTTCCAAAATTTTACCATAAACCTATTTCTTGGTAAAGAATTGTTGCAAGCATCAATTTTGAATAAATTAGCTTCAATATTTAATGATTTATCGAAGATTTTGTATTTCTCTAAATAACCGTTATATGGGATGTGGGCGTGGTTATTGTCCGATTTTAAAAAGTTTCGGCGGTTTTTTACGCTATACCAAGGCCAACAACTGTGCCAAGTTTGGAAGAAATTGGTGCAGCGGTTACCAAGGTATACACATGTAACCATAAGTGGGCGTGGCTACGCCCATTTTCCAAAAATTTATAATATTCTTATTTTTCGTCTAAAACTTATTATAAATATCAATTTTGAGTGAATAATCTCCAGTAGTTACTAAAATATCGCAGTTTTCGTATTTCTGAAAATTACCGTTATATGGGAAGTAGGCGTGGTTATTGAGCGATTTTAAAAATTTTCGCCCATTTGGTATGTTATGCAAAGGCCAACAACTGTGCCAAGTTTGGGAGAAATTGGTGCAGCGGTTACCAAGATATACACATGTAACCATAAGTGGGCGTGGCTACGCCCATTTTCCAAAAATGTATAATATTCTTATTTTTCGTCTAAAAATTATTGTAAATATCAATTTTGAGTGAATTATCTTCAGTAGTTACTAAAATATCGCAGTTTTCGTATTTCTGGAAATTACCGTTATATGGGAAGTGGGCGTGGTTAAAGTCCGATTTCGCCCATTTTCAATACCAACCTACCTTGGATTAAGGGAAACCTACATACCAAATTTCGTTGAGATATCTCAATTTTTGCTCGAGTTATCGTGTACACGGACAGACGGACAGACGGACAGACGGACAGACGGACAGACGGACAGACGGAC